TTTTCTACAATACAGTACCGGTCTCGAGTAAAGTACCATCCATTCTCGAGTACTCGAACTCGATACGGWCMGYGAGTYTCGAGTAWAGAGTGAAACAATGACAGTTAATGAGGCAGCGAAAACAATGCCACTCGCTTTCACTCTTTACTCGAGACTCTAGAGTGTTTCGAGTGGAGCGCTTCGAACTTAAATTACGGAATCAAATTCACACGAAAGTTTACAAAATAGTTTGATTGCGGCTATGACAATTTTGCTTTGGTTATTAATATGCTTCACTTGTAAGCAAAAATGAACTGGCCTTTAATGATTACCTGTTACAGCGAAAGTGAACGAATAAGAAACCATATTAAACACCAGCAAACTGTGAATCTACACGAAGATATTTCCAAGCGTGTTTTGAGACTAATCTCGCATTTCCCATGCCGCTCAGGTCAACACGGCTTTTTGAACCTGTTTCATCTACTTTAAATTATTCTATCAAAAATTAAAACAACCGAATCGTACTGTTTTTACAAGATTCTTTAAGCTACTGAGGTTTATACTATCCTTCATAAAGCTCAAGTAGGTTTAATCAGAATTTTGTCAGGATAAGTGTTCGAACAAATTTGTTCTCTTTTGGCTAGTCGCCAAAACAACTAAATATTTCAATCAGCTACGATCATGATAAGAGATAAAAGCGGTTTCTCATGCTTTCATTTTAGAAAAGTTAATCACAGGTTGTTACGGAGTTTGAAGAACATAACGATATATTGCAGAAATTGATAAAATATGCTTTGATAATGGCAAAAAATACTGAATTATGGAAGAAAACAGAACAAATAAGCTTCCCAAAGTGCTTTAACACTGCCTAGACAGCGGAATGACGAGACAGTATGACGAGACGGCGTGACATTGTCGTGTAACCTAAATTTATATGACATTGAATTGACATCTTGCCGACGTACGATCTTGCCGATCATTCGCTAATATAAAAGCGACCGATTAGAATTTAAATTTTGACTTTTCATTAATCGTTCACTTCAACAGAAATTGTTTGTAAAACTACACTCGACGCTCGAAAGTCTTTCGAGTGGAAGCCACTCGATTACACTCGCTTTTATGAATAATTTGTTATGCATGACTCGCGAGTAACGATGGTCACTCGATAATCGCACTCTCGAGTATAGAGCGAGTGGATGGTACTTTACTCGAGACCGGTACTGTACATACTATTTAATTAATATATGAAAGTATGGTGTACTCTTCCATCCTGGTTGAACTATGCTATAGTAAGTACTGTGATTTTGTATACTGCATTAGCTAGTGAAAGCTAAAGAACAAACACTAAAAGCGTGCAACACTTTGCACTATTTGCTACAAAATAGTGCTAATTAAACAATAGAATTAGCATACTTTAGAAGTATTTAGTGGTTATGTTGCACAGCTTTAGTGTTTGTACTCTATACGCAGGTAAATTATATAGCACAAAAGTGGATTTTCATTTTTTTGATGAATGTCACTTTACAAGTATTCAACAGTTGCCGGGCTACATGACCTGTTGTCAGCAATAATACATCTTACCACTTGATATAATGACGTCACCATCACCCCTAGCGATGCATAGACTGTACCGGTTATATTAAATCGTACATCGTAGTACGAATTAAGAATAACACCTAGAGTAATTGGTATCTGAATAAAGAAAAAGTGTAGAAAGATGAATACATTAAAATCTTAACTAAAATCAAACTAAAAAACATGTTTAAGATTCAATTAAATACACATATTATATCTTTATTCATATGTACATTATGCATATTACGCCTTTCAATCTTTTGTATCAAAATAAACAATCAAATATAGCAGGGCTTGTTTTTCTATGTAAAGAAAGTACATTAATTTTGTAAATATTCCTTTTTAGAGTTTCCTCTAGCACTACCTTGATGTTAGGAAACTATCTGCCTTTAAAGTGGTCAATATAAAACGAAAAGAAACAGTTAAAACGACTACTATTTCATCTCTAGAATTTCACATAAAAAAGACAGTTTCTTGATGTAAATACTTACGATAGTTAGCTTGATATTTGTAGAATAACTTCTATTATAAAACAGTGTATGAATGCCAATAATTGTAGGAGTGGTAAGCGCCTTGGCAAGCTGATAAGTCCCAACAGTGTTGTTCTGAAGACTTAAATTGGTAAAAACCACAAAGCCACARAAGGTCAATGACAAAGGTATCATTTTCAACAATGGTAGTTTTCGTGGCTTGAAGATTCCCAGAAAAGCACAAAATACTAAACCAAGGTACGTTACAACGAAGTGAATACACGTTAAGGTTATGTTAGGAAAGCCGTGATTCACATAAATCCATTTGTTGATAAATACAATACAAATTGACGCTAAGAAGTTGATCGAGAGACCGAGGGTTAATATCGTTGGATGCATCCCAGAGCTCGCCTGTCTACRACATTAGAAGCACAACTTTGATCTTTTTGGTATTTCGACGGACTTGGGCCGTCGTCAGGACTACTATTGTCCTTTCTAAGCATGTATTATAGAAAAACACAAAAGGACCAGCCAAGAGAAAGCAAACACCAGCTATCAAAATGACCCTCGAGGTCAAATCRCGGCAGGCGTTCCTAGTTTTGAGGAGTGAACATGGGGCGACTTTGCCACAGGCAAACCGCAACCACAGYAACGGTACAGCTCCAAGAAACTTCAAGAAAAATTATGCTAAAAATAATAATCTTTATTCGTCGTTATCGACCTTCAATTTAATGTATTTACATATAATTTGCTTTKTATTTCATTTCATTAAAAAAACTAGTTTGAAATTTTGGTCAATTTCAATGTAACTCCAATGGCTTATTGACTTTGCACACCAATTGAACCCCAGAAACTGCAGCAACGAAGGAAGTCAGAAGATAATCGTCGATGTCTTCTGTTGTGTACACATTAACAAGCCAAATTAACTGGCTGGAACATCTGGTGGGGGAGGGGGTGGGGGAGCTGAGTCACCTTCAGCTGGCTGGTCATTGGTACTATCTGCTGCAAGAATAAGGAGAAAGAGTAAAAGAAATGTCTAGAAGAACTACATTCTGTGTTTTCCTTAGTTCTTTCTCAACAAAGAATGAACTAAAATGTAGTTTTTTCAATCAATATCACTATAAAATAGACAGACAAGTCAAAAAGACTTCAATAAAAATGAAAAAAAGAATGAAATCAAACTTTAAAAGCCTAAAAAAACAATCTTACCACCACTTTCTGATTTAGACTTCTCGTCTTTCTCTTCCTCTGCAGTTTTATCAGCTCTAAAGAAGATCCGTGCACTATTGAGAGAAAAGTAGACCAGCTCAAATTCCTGCTGGTACGTGCAAAGTCTCTTGAGGGTTAGATTCATCGTCTGTTGCAGCTTTTCGTCCTTMACGCCTCGTTCTAAAGATGCTCGTACCTCTCGCTACAAAAATAATTACATACTGTTTTTATTTGATTCATAGGATGCAAAACTCGACATATAAGCTGAGTTCAATGTACTTACCTTTTCTTTTTCATATTTGTCTTGTACAGATTGGAACCAATGGAGTGAGTCGAACTCGTGGTATTGATCCAATAATTTCAAAATATATGCTACACCTGAGAACAGAGATAAAACGTCTAAGGTTCGGCTTTTAAACGGCAAATCTTACATGCGACAAATTCAATGGCAACGAGATGAGTAGAAGAAACAAAAGATTGAGCAGAAATAATTTGCACTGAATTCATAACGTGTGAAATTCGTCGTTTCTGGTACCAAGATGCAATTAATTCAAAAAAACTATTAATCTCTTTGTAGGTAAGAGAATGCGTCGCCAAGTACTCGTTCCAAGTCGTCCCACTCTCGCGCGCAATGCCCTCTTAGTTCCCTTGAAGCATTGCGCGCAAAAGAGAGAAAAACGACTGGGGATGAGTCAGAATAGGTTTATATACATTTCAGTAGCTTGGAAAAGCAGAGAGGGGTTAGGAATGAGAAGAAGATACACTAGTACATATTTACCCATGACAAATCCGTCATCAGTAAAAGCTGCTCCAACTTTGTTCTTCTTGTTAAGCTTCTCCTTGCAGCTTAACATGTACTCTACAAAATTGAGGGTCTGAAACAACAAAAATTGCGCGTCACTTACTAAACTAGAAGAAAGGACAACTAAGGCAACTTACACAGGTCAACATGAAACCAGACAAGAACACACCGTTAGWACTGACTTACCAAAGGTGGTACAATCACGTAGAAGTTTCTCAAATGCATGTTTTTGGCATCACGAAATTCGGGAGCAAATACATCAACAAGCAGCTGAAAACAATAATGAAATATGAGAATATTGATTGAAATAACTCTCAATTATTCATTCATATTTATTCAGCCGAGTGTAGATTATTCAAGAAGGAGATGCGTCACCTTAAAATACTCAGTTGCACCAGCAAAATTCTTGGACAGATTATCAATGGCGGAATCGAGAATTCTGAAAACAAACGTACATCAGTTGTGCAACCAGAATGTTTGATTTTATTGACTGTAGGGAGTTTTAGAAGTCTTTATACTCACTTTGCTGCTTGCAAAGCCTCTACAGAGAGTTCTTCCTCTTTGACAAGCTCTTCAAATGACACGATGTCCTCAAGGTCAGGAACAAATCTACCAATAATGGAAAGAAAGAAAGAAAAAAAGAAAGAAAGAAAGAAAGTGTGAATGATTTAATCAGAATCATTCAATCAGTCAATCAACTATATCAAAACAGTCAGAACATCAGSTAGTCGAGCTATCAATCAATTAACCAATCAATAGTTGAGGTGACGGCTTTGTTACCCCTACTGAGGGGTAGACAAAGTTTCGCAAAATAACAAGGTTATAGTGAGAAATCGATGTCAAATAATTCCCGCTGAATTCAAATTCGGACACTTTGCCTACTCGTCCAAGATGGCCGCCAAAACCGTCACCTCAACTATTCAWGCARCCCTTACCAATCAATGTTAATRAASAAGCTTACCTTATAGCATTACTACAACAGTGYAGACCACCAGACCGWATCATACGAATGTATCCCATGGCGTTCCCTAAAACATACAATGACTTAGTGCATACACAATTGTTACTTACAGTGTTTAAAYARCATAAATTAYATCTACTGTCAATATTGCCTCGACAAACATTCAAAATAGAGAAAAAAGGCACTAGTAATCTCACCAATTTGACCGATAAGAATCCTGAACTGATCCAAGTAMGTAAGCCCATCAGGTGACAGCCCAAGTTTACGAATGCCTTTGTTAAACTTCTCAGCTCGCTCATAGGGATACTTTTGATTAAGCTGTTCCTTGGTCTCCTTGAAGAAACGAATATCCTGAAGAAGAAATYCATAATATTGATAATTGAAAAACACTGTGTAATTTGCAAACAGAGTTAATAGAGGAAATATGGTGCACGATCTAGTAGARCGGATTTCGTATRASTGGGACACCGTWACCGCACGGTTACCGCACAGTTACCGGACCTGGCCTGCACAATTTTGATGAACCAATGGGGCACTAGAATTTGGTTACAGTAYGATTACGGTTACAGTACAGTACCGTCYGTTTCCCAYTCATACGAAATCCGCTCTATTGTTCACTTGACGGTAAAAACTTCCGRTTCAACAGAGACTATGTATAGCAATACCATAGTTACCAACTATGGCAATACTAACCTTCACAAGCCTGGCTTTGATGTGTTCATCATACAAAAACTGAGAGAATATGAAGAACTTCTTACGTAAAAACTGATACGTAAAGTTAACGGTAGTGTTCATGATACCAGAGCCRTGCGTACGTATCGAGTTTGCGATGTTACGTATATTRATGGTATTGAGRTGCTTGTTATTTGACGCRCGTTCTACGAAAATCTAKAAAAGATTTGATAACAATAAGCAATCAAACAACTAATCACTACTATCTATCATACTTATATTTTATTTTTYGCAWTKCMATYGGATAYGCACGTTTCATTTTTCACGTTTWCAATTGCCGCGCACTCTCAATCAAACCTATACCAACCTACAAGTCTATACTAGTATGTTTGACAATAGTCTATAGTAACATAATGGTGGGAACTAGCGGTAAACTAGTGTGATCTGYGTCAGTGTTTCGGAGTCCGACGAAGGATTAACGTCCGAAACKTCAKTAAGTTATTTCACCTATTTTTTACGGTGTAAATTTATCTTTTTACACAACAGTTTCTATAGTAACCTACCTGGTTGTTCAGGTTGTAGAGATAACGTGAGACAAATACATGGATGTTCCTCATAATTTCCAGAACGTCAAGCCCCTAAAATATAAGTATAATGAACTTTCACAAATTTAAGTAATGGTCCGAGTAAGAAGCAGGCAACGAAACGGCAATGGAATGCATGAAGGTGCTAATTGTGTATTATAATCCATCCATCTCATTGGTTAAAAAATTAAAATTTGACATAATTTCAAAAGTAAGCGCATTTTTTAATATTTTATTTAATATCTGATTCCGCCTTCATAAAAGCTTTCCTTAGCTTTAATATTAATAGCAATTCTATGTGGGGAACATAGCAAATTAGAAGCATTTTTGGGCTGATTGTTTTGAGTGCTTATGATTGGACAAGATCTTTTAATACAAAAGCAGGTTTGTTTCAAAACAGAGTTATACCCCATAGGTTGATATATAGTAAGTGTGAAAACCAAGACATTCGTATGTGAGGAAGTTGCAATTGCCGCAGAACAATAGAAAGTTGCCGCTGCTTTTTGCGCGCATTGTTACTTAAGGTGAAAACACATATAACTGCTTACAAACCTGTTCAAGAGTTTGGCTTGGGAGATGTGCTTCAGTCATCTCRAGACTGTACTTCTGTTTGGCCATGTTCCTCATCTCGGCATAAGTCTTCCAGTCATGCAATGCGACTGTGGTTAAGTTATAAAATGTGCTGTCCAAGTAGTGCGTCACATACGCTGAAATTATCATAAATTATCATAATTATGAACATAATTATCAGTATTCTCATTATTATTCTGTGTAAAGTGTACCTTTAATGTCAATGAATCTGTCAAAAAAGCGGATTGGTCGTAGCTTTAAGAAGTGGGACAAGTCCCTCATACCAACCTTGAATACAAAGACATAAGAATATGAAATGCTTGTATTTATATCAAATCAAAATAATAGATATAAAATGTAGAAAGTCTTGTGGTTTTCTGTTAAGACAAAAAAGAATTTGCTTTACCTTGAATGGATTTCGATCATCCAGTTGTAAATGTTGATGAATGTGAAGGCGAAGGTCTGTTTCGATGTCACGGCACAATGGCTGTAGAAAATGCTGCAAAGATTCATAAAAATACGTTGAAAAGTACACGAAAAAACCTCATACTGTAGCTAAAAAAAATGAGGCTTTTACTTATAAGTACATAGTACTTATTGACCAGTTTAGAAGATGAACAACAGTCTGAATGATGAGTTTATAATTTATTCATGCACCTCTGTCAAAGCAGTTTCTATTTCTTTCTCAAATGATTCCAACATGACTTGTGCTGAGGACTCATGTTTGACTTGAACCAGGATAGGAACAC